CTCTCTCTCTCTCTCTCTCTCTCTCTCTCTCTCTCTCTCAGCATGCATATAACATACTGAGATCTACAAAACAGATTCTTTTCATTTTCATTATAGGATCAGATAAAAAAGCTAAAACATGAGAGTTTTCGATTTTCTTTTGTCACTCTGAGCAACAGCAAAATTTAAAAAAGGCATCTGAAAAAATATTCAAATACAGTTTAGTCCAGTTTTGGTAAAGTTATTGCGTTTTAAAAGAGTGTCCGAATATTAATGGGAGTCACTGTATATAGAGTTCTTTTCCGATAGTGCGAAACGCCCGTAGGGTGCGATGGGATTGTATTGAGTTGGCAACTGAGTAATTGCCGATTTGTTCAATGAAATAAAAAATTTTTTTTTACTTGGAATGAAGTTAAATCTGTAATGTATTTTCCATTTTGTTCGATGACCTTTTGCCATCTCTCTGATAACTTAAAAATTTCACGCTCGTAGAAAGTCTGATCCTTTTCGGCCACAAACTGAGTCAAGTGAGATTTTACAGCATCATCATCATTAAAAGATTTACCACGAAGGGAGTTGTCCAGGGATCGATATAAGTGGTAATCCGATGGCGCGAGATCAGGGCTATATGGTGGGTGTAACATCAATTCCCAACCAATATCCATCAATTTTTGCCGAGACGTGTGCGGTCTAGCATTGTTCTGGTGGAAAATGACACCTTTACGATTGACCAATTCTGGTCGCTTTTCCTTGGCCGCTGCATTGAATTTGTCCGGTTGCTAACATTCGCGGATAATAAAAAATAACATAATAATAATAATAATAATAATAATAATAATAATAATAATAATAATAATAATAATAATAATAATAATAATAATAATAATAATTTTATAATATAACATTTACGGATATCATAAAAATGGTGAGATACATCTATAACTGAAATCGGCAATTACTTAATTGCCAACCCAATAGATTGTACAAAGTTTTATTTCTGTCGAATTAGGCTGCTGGAAGCGATCATTAAACGCGGTCCCGATTTACCGTGTTCGACAACTCCGAGCGATTCCACCCGAGGGATCGCACACGAAAACGATTCCGATCCTGCTCCCGATCGCACATCTAGAAGCGAAAGCGAGTCGACCACGACCACGGAGGAAGAAGACTGCTCGAGCGAAACGTGGATAGAACGGAGCATTCGCAAACGAAACGCCGCCGAAAAACAGCAAGCCCTCTCGTCGCGTCTCTCGATCCTCGAGGATCTGAACGGACTGAGTCAACGGGTAAGTAACCAGCTCGGTTTTTAGCGGACAACGTCAGTAAAGCGACTCTGACGCAGATAAAGGCGTTGCTCGATTCGAACGAAGAAGAGACTCCGTCGGCGAGGCTTCCGACCCGTTCGTTCGATCTCGATCTAGAAGCTCGAGCGCGCAAACTGGCAGAGGCAAAGTCGACCGGAGAACGACTGTTCGAGACTGGCGAGCAGCTAATCGAGCGATGCGATCGGACTAGTATATATCTGCGAGAAAGGTTCTTGGAACCCCTGCGCGTTCCGCCGAGCAGCATCGCCTCCGTTTTGGGCGAGACGAAAGTGACCAACTACCCCCTCGGCGAAGTGACTTCAAGGGACGCGGATCTGCTGTCTTGGTGTCGGTTCTCCGAGGCGACCAGACAGGCGGTATCGAGGTAAAGGTGGAGCCAAAGGCACCCAAATGCGGTAAAAAAAACATTTTCTGACGGAAATCAAATATTTATGCCTAATTTTTTAATATTATACAATAAGGTGTTATACATGTGTACTTTAGATCATTGAATTAGTTGTAGAAACTATTTCTTAAGAACATTTCTAAACAAAAATATTATTACAAAATACGTGCATTTAATTAATTAGTTGTAAATTCGTTGTTTTAGAGTTGTCAGTTTGTCTGCCATATATACATATGAGCCGTTTATTTTGAAATTTGTTTTTAAGTCGATATATTTAAGGGTTTGCGTTTTAACACGTTTAAAAATATGGATACTTACTTTCGAGAAGATTTACTTGTATTTGTTATCTCAGGGTACTGATATTTTTCTCAGTATAAATAATTTCGTATAAACATTAAAAAATCACCACTTTTCATTACGGTACAGTGACTTAAGCCACTTTCAAAACAAATAGTTTACAAAAATGACTGACACATATTAATTTTGTCCGACGTATTTTACTGAAGCGATGTTTTGAAAGGACAGTGATTTACTAAAATTGTTGAATAAATTACATATATAATAATAATTTATACCATGAGCATATTTAATATAAAGGTTTGATTTAAGTATTTTTTATTTTAATATTCATAAAATACAAAAATAATTAGTACATTTTGAAACATAAGTATAAGTAATTTATATGAAAATATACATCGGTTCAATTTAATTTTCGTCATCAATAGGAGTGATTAAGTCCTCGGAAATCGTGTTTTGTTTCAAATTTTTTAAATAACTGTGGTAAATTGGGGGTATATAATTAAGCAAGTCCATCGTGTCTTTGTATTTTGCTGAAGAAACGGGACGAGATTCAGCGTATAACGAATCCATTTCTATTTGTGAATAACGCCTAGGTCTTCCTCTTTTTGGTGACAAATC